GTGAGGTAGACAAAGGAAGGCAACAGTGAATAGAGTTACAGGGTCCTCATTCTTTAAGCGAGCACTCTAGGGGAGAGGCTTGGTCAGAGGCCAATGATTCGAGGGACCATATTAATAAATTCTTAATTAATTAATGGCACTTTGGCAGAATCTTAAAGCTGTAATGAATCTGCCATCACCGTGGTGCACAAGAAATCTAGGGGACATGGGATGGCTATGTATGGCAGGATGCTGGGAAAATGGAGACAGAGACTGACTGGAGATCAGGACGCCCTAGACCACGTCAGAGGCCGCCTACGGTTGTATGTAAGGTTCAGGGGAAAGGGGGAAGACATAGAAATAGTCACTGCTATTTGTACCCTGTTTAATGCCCTTTAAATCAATCTTATGAACTTTAAAGCAACCAGTTAATAATAATAACTTTAGAAAGACAAATGGCCAAGATTCCTCTGAATGAATATTCCCTTGTGAGTTCTGGATTTGACAAAGTAACTTTCCCCAAACCTTTAAACACTGGCTACAAAACTAATCAAACACTCCTAAGCATTTAAGGAAAATTACCTGTATATCGGACTGTCTTTACTGTTTCAAATACCCTTAAAAGCCTGGAGGAGAGAAGCTTTAACTGTCAGACTCTCAGAGACAGGGGGCTAGATTCCAAGTCTGTGACCGCACTAGGACCTCCCACCTGCAGGGGGCAGTGGTCCAGACAGCGCGGCCTCTTGACTGGCCGAGGGGGGAAGGCTCTGAGAAGTGATGAGGATGCTGCTAAGCTTGTTGCAGCCCCTCACAAGCCTGAACGGCTCAGGAAGTGCTTTCCCCACAGTATGCTGGGGAACAGAAGGTGTTTCTCCTCGATTCCTGCAGGGAACACGTGTGTGCGGTACACATACCGTCCAAATGGGGGCGGATCACAACCAGTCCGGATATCCCAACCAGAGTTAAAGTGGGCTTGCCGAGGCAGCTCTGGGGAGTTGCTCTGGGCGGCGATGGATTCAGCCAGGTTATAAGGCTCTGGAACAGCTTTTTCCCGTTGAGAACACTCAAGGAGGAAGACAAGATCCGATGGAGCACTGCAGCTGGAGAGGCGTGGAGGCGGGAGGAGCGGAGACACGCAGTACAGGGAGCTCTCCACATCCCAAGGGAAGAAGTTGTATTCCTTTTTCCTTTGTTTCTCTTTTGGGAAATCCTGTTAGTGCTCTTTTCCTCACGGTTTCCACTTCTTTGTCTTCCTGGGAGAGTTACTCAGTGTTAACTTTCAGCTATCTAATTTAGTCATCAATGGTATCATTCCTTCTATTGGAATATTTTATTTTATTTTTTTTATTTTTGCCTGTATTGGGTCTTCATTGCTGCGCTGGACTTCCTCTAGTTGCCACTAGCGGGGGCTACTCTTCCTTGCGGTGCGCGGGCTTCTTGTTGCAGTGGCTTCTCTTGTTGTGGAGCGCGGGTTCTAGGCGTTCAGGTTTCAGTAGTAGCAACACGCGGGCTCAGTAGTTATGGCACGCGGGCCCTAGAGCATGCAGGCCTCAGTAGTTGTGCTGTGCAGACCCTAGAGTACGCAGGCTTAAGTAGTTGTGGCGTGCAGGCTCAGTAGTTATGGCACACGGTAGCTTACCTGCTCCGCAGCATGTGGGATCTTCCTGGACCAGGGATTGAAGCCGTGTCCCCTGCATTGGGAGGCAGATTATTAACCACTGAGCCACTAGGGAACCAGAATATTTTCTTAATTCAGGCAACAGAAGTTTTAAATTTCAAGAATTCCCATGACTTCTTTTCAAATTAGCCTCTAGTATTCTCCAGGTTAGTTAGATACGTCCCTAGTCTGTGGTTAGTGGCAAAAAAGACACTGCACCCAGAAGGCTTCTGGAGTGAGCATTAACCTTTGCAGCAACCTGTAGGAGACTCCCGGATTTGACATTGCAACCCATGCAGGGATAGGGCACTAAAGCTGTCACTGCACAGAATGGACAGCTAATGGTGTTGGTGCGTTTAAGATTTTAGTTCTTTGACTAGCCTGTCCAGGGCATAGAAGATGTCTGGGCTGGCTACCTATTAGCTTCAAGGGCCCAAATACCTGTGGCCATAGAACCTCAATACTTAATTTGCAAAGTGAACAAACATGCTGAAAGTGAAATCTTTTGGAGGCTAACCAGGTCTGCAATTTTCAGACTTGCCTGAGGAAATACTGTTTTGTCCTCCCGCGAGCACACTCAGCGCCAGGGGCTCTCGCTTCTCGTACCCCAGACGCACAGCCCACCCGTCTTGCCCCCGCCCACCCGGGAGCTGGAGCCCCCTAACTGCCACGAGCGCCCGCCCCCCCCACCCCACGCCCCGCCCCGGCGGGAGCTCCCCTAACGCCTACCGCACCCGCGCCCGGGAGTCCTCCCCATCGACCCCCGCCTCAGCCAGGAGTAGCTCCCCCTTCCTCCCGCCACACGCAGCAGCCGTTAGCCCTCCCCTCCGGTCTCGGCCCCGGGGGTGGGGCCCGCCCGGGCCGTCCTCCCCACCCCCGCAGCCAGTCGTCCTCTCCTCTGGCCCCCAAAGCCGGCCCCACCCGACCGGCAGGAAGCCCTCCGCTCCGGCCCCCCCCACGCTTAGCCATTAGCCCCACCCTCTGCACCCCGACTCCAGAACGCCCCCCACCAGCCACCCCGGAAGCCAGCGGTCCTCCCCTCTGACCCGCTCACTGGGGGACCCTTCCCTCAGCCCCCTTCAGCCCGCTACCCTCTGCCGCCGCTCCCCCCCTCCCAACCGAGCAGCCCGTAGCCCTCCCCCGACCTCCACTCCTTCCCAGGGCCCCCGGTACCTGCGGAGTCCAGCCCCCGGCAAAGCCCCCGCCTGTCTCCTGACTTGCTCTGACTCTGTGGATGGCTCCGGAGTCCCGCTCACGAGGGGCTGAAGAGCTCGTCTCAGCAGAGCAGCCGGGAACTGTGCAGCCGACTGTCCCAGGCACTCTGTGCGAACGCCACGTGGGTTTCCGGGTGTTCCCGGAAGCCCCAGGAAGATGAGGGAGAAAGTTCTAGACGTCGCTTTACAGGGAAAGTGGTTGGATCAGAAGAGCACGTGAGGAGGCGCTTTGCTACGGAAGCAGCAGTAGCCATGCGCACTGAGGGCCTGAGGTCCCAAGGCTTGGCGCCTCCGGAAGCAAAAGACACGCCCATTGGCCTTCCACCAATAGGAAGGCCTCCCTGCAAGGCTGCGGAGTTGGGGGAGCAAACTTGGCGATGCAGAGCCCATTGTGGCAAGTACGTCCATTTGTCTTCACAGGTGGTTTTCTACTGTGATTGATAACGTCATAAACCTATTCTTATTTCTTTGGTTTGTTTTAATTTTTGAATTTTATTTTATGTATTTTTTTATACAGCAGGTTCTTATGAGTTACCCATTTTATACATATTAGTGTACATTTGTCAATCCCAATCTCCCAATTCATCACACCCCCCGCCCGCCCCCACCATTTTCTCACCTTGGTGCCCATATGTTTGTGCTCTACGTCTGTGTCTCTATTTCTGCCCTGCAAACCGGTTCATCTGTACCATTTATCTAGGTTCCACATATGTGCATTAATACACGATATTTGTTTCTCTCTTTCTGACTTCCTTCACTCTGTATGACGGTCTCTAGATCCATCCACGCATCTACAAATGACCCAGTTTCGTTCCTTTGTACAACTGAGTAATAAATAATAGTAATAAAGCTCTTCTTCATATGGACTGATTTCTTGTCTAGTTGTATCAACTAGCCATCTTCTCACATGGCACAAAAGAATGAGGCAGCCGTCTGGGGCCTCTTTTATAAGGGAGGTAATCATTCATGAGGGCTCCCCCCTCATGGGCTAATCACTTCCCAGGGCCCCACCTCCAAATCCCATCCCTTTGGGGGTTAGAATTTAACAGGTGAATGAGGGGGAGAGGTTTACAAATATTCAGTCCATAGCAGTGTCTGTCCAACTATTGTTGCTCCTATGTTCCCTTTTTCCTGCTGAGATAATCAATGTTTTCATTTACATTTTAACTTCTCTACTGCCTTTTTAGGCAATTATCAGTTTTCGCTAAAACTTTACAGTTCACCTATGAACTGGAAGAAAAACCCTCACGATGTCTGGGTCTGCAAAGTGCCTACCTTACCCTCTCCCTGGAGAGGTGTCCCATGGGTGCTGAGCAGGAATCGGACTCTGGACCCCCGCCCTCACCCGCAGCAGCCCTTTCCCTCCATTGCCCACAGCAGAGGCCAGACTCAGATGAAACGTTCAGGGAAATTTATTAAAGAGAAACATTGACTGAAACCATTGAACAGAGGGCATGATAACACAGAGAGGAACTTCTAACGGCCACCGGAGCTCACGGGTCCCGCCCCCCCCAGGGTCCTCAAAAACGTGCCTCCGCTACACCCCACCCGGCGGCCCTCCGTGTCCCCACAGTCTCCCTTCCTGAGGGCCCCGCGGGTGGCGTCTCGCCAGGAAGATGGGCGCCGGCCATGCCCGCTCCCCCCAGGGCAGACCCTCCATTTCTGGCCCACATGCCCGGGACCCGGCCCTGCCCGATGGCGGGCACAGGACAGTCCCACAGCAGGGCGCGCGCCACCGAGCCGGGGACGTGGAGTCCCGAGGAACAACGGGGTGGCCCGGCAGAACCCAAGCCCTGGGGGCCTCCCGCAGACCTCCTGCAGCCACGGTCAAGGTCTTCCTTCCCAAGGTCCCAGGTGGGATCCCAGGTCCTGGGCTGGGTGCTGGCTCTGACCTCGTCCATCCCGTCCTTCGCGCCGGCTCCTGGGACTGGGCTCGGGGTCTCCACGCCGCGCAGGGTTTGGGGGAACTGCTCAGAGGGGAACACACGCACATTTCCACAACAACAGGCAGCGCTGGGCCTGAATCTATGCCCAGAAAGCACACGTTGAGCTCACGACACTGGCCCACAGAGACCAGAGCCTTGGCTGGCACGTGGCGCACCTCAGGGCTCTGCGGGGGGACGATGGCTAGGGTGTGTGTGTTGGGGGGAGGGGAGCGGGGGCTGGGGGGTTCCTTGACACCTGGGTCCCTCTGGGGCCTAGAGGGACACATTTGGGCTTGCCAGTACAGGGAGCAACCTGCCCCAGGGGATGATGAATAGGGGTCCCCTCTCAGGAGGGAGGCCCAGGCACCTTGAGGTGCCCCGTAACGTCTCCCAGGCCAGTGTGGGTGGCAGCCATCTGTAATTGCCCCTCACCTAGGTGAGAGCTGGTCACTTAGGGCTGCTCCTAGGTCAGCCACCTGAGCTGGCAGGCTTTGGAGCTCGGGCTGGATGTGGTGCTGCCATGGCAAAGCAGGGGGGCATCTCTCCCTGCCTGGTTTGGTGTCAAACATGGTCATCTTGGTCACTTGGAAGGACTGATGGTGGTGGCCAGGGCCCCTTGGGGATGGTGGGGGGGACCCAGGGGCTTGGTCTGGGCTGAGCTGGGCTGGGCTGGCCCTTCCCTCCACCCTGCTCCCCATGTGGGACCAGGAGGCTGCCTGGCCTGGCCTCCTCCTGCCTCCGGGCCCGGGGGCCCCCCGGGGCCTGCTGAGCCTATTGGCCACATGAGGACTCGGAGTTGCTTCTCTCCGCAGCCCCGTCCTCATTTCCTGGCTTGTCTGGGATGGACTTGAGCCCCTCCTCGTGCTCCCAGCCCGGACCTCCTGGGCCCGCCGGGGAAGCCCTGCCCATCCAGGGAGCAGTGGGGCCTCCCGGGGCCTCTGAGGGTGCCGCCTGACCTGGGCGCGCAGGTGTGGGGTCCTTGTCGTCGACGTGCACCTCCCCCCGTTCCTCCTGCACACTGTCATCCTCTGCCTTAGCTCTGGCTCTGGCATCAGCCTGGGATTGGCCCGGGCAGCAGCCCCTTCCCCTGCCTGGGCTCTCTTGCTCCTGGCTAGACTGGCCTCCCACGCCTCAGACTCTCAAACGCTCCTCAGCATCTCCATGAAACGTGGAGACCTCCCAACCATTCTCAGCTTTGCTCAGTGCTTCATCCAGGGGCTCAATGTGGCTGGCCCGAGTGAGCACCTGCCTCTTCCTCCTCCTCTCCCTTTCCAAAACCCCACGCCACACATGCAGCATGTCAGAGGTATGGTCTAGCCAGACCTCAAAGGACTCCTCCCCGGGGTCTGGCTGGTCCCTCCCGGAAAACACGCCCAGGCGCTGGTACCGCAGGGTCTTCACCCAAGGCTGGACCGCCTGACTGATGGATGGGAGCCAGCACACCCTGCGCAGCCCCAGCCTCAGCCCCAGGGCACCGGCCACACTCTCCACCGTCTGCCCCTGTTGCCACAGGAAGGGGAACACGCGACCTAGAAACTCCTCTCCTGAGCATCGGGGCACAAAGACCATGTTCCAGGGACCTCTAGTGCTTGGGATTTCCCTGGGGACCAAAGCATAATCGACTTTCCAGCGAAGCTCGACCAGGGCCGCAGTGGCATTATCCTGCTGTCGAAACACTTTGCGCAGCACGGTAAAGTGGCCCACCGGCCACAGGGCGGCCTCCAGTGTTCCGGGATGCCCAGGATGAGCAGGCCCCTGTGAGCGCTGACGCCCATCCACCTGCACCGGTCCTGCAGCATCGTCACCGCCACCGCCCGCAGTTTCCTCCGGTGCGGGGCTAATGCTAGGGGTAGGAAACTTTTCCCGGTGCAGACCAGGGTGGCTGGCCCTGGGGGGTGGGGGAAGGGGAATGAATTGGGGCGGGGGTCTAGGACTCAGAGAGAACCGCCCAGGTCTCCACAGCCTGTGAACACGAACAGGACAAGAGCGAGGTTAAGGCCGACCCGCCCCCCCCACCTCACCCCACCCCCACCACGTGCTGCCCCTCCTCTCCCCCGTGCTGCCTCTGCGGTCCAGGCTTGACCCCCGCCCCGCTCTCCACCTGCCCTCAGGGGCCACAGCCCGCTCCCCACGCCGCCCCCCCCCGCTCCCCACCCCCGCCTACGGCCCCGCGGGCTGCCGCTGTCCTGCTGGGGCTAGCGGAGGGTGGCAGGGTCTCCCGGAGCCAAACGCACCACCCCGGGTCTGGTACCTTCTTCGGGTCGGGGTCTTTCCTGGCCGAGGTCCCAGCAGGAGGGGCGCGAGGCTGCGCTGAGCGGCGACGGGGTCGGGCGCCCCTCTTTCCCCGGCTCTCTCTCTCCCTGTCTCTGTCCCTCTCTCAGCGCTGCACGTGGGCCAGCGCGCCACGGCCTGCCTGCCCGCCCGCCACCGCGGACTCACTCGGGGCGGGGGCACAGTGGTAGCCGAGCGCGGACCCTCCGCGGCGCCCCGGTGATGGCCGGGCCATTGGCGCGCGCGGGTCACGCGGCCTGGCTGTCGCCACCGCCGCGAACGCCCCGGGACCGCGGGTGACGTCACCTGTTCCTTCCCCCGCCCCTGACGGGGCGCCGGCACCGGTGGGGACCCTCGGGGTCCGGGGGTCGGCGCCCCCACCCGGGACCCAGCCCAGTCTCCCGCCCCTCCCGGAACGAGCCCTCGGGGCGCCGGCGTGGGGAGGGCTGCACACCCCGGGTGCCCGCCGGAGAGCGGCTGGATGGCCCTGAGGTGCGCCCGCGGACAGTGCGTTCCGACCAGGAATGGGGAGCAGCGGCGTGGGGGTGGCCCTCTGGGGCTCCTTTATCAGTTCTCCCCCTCCCCCTCCCCTCCCAGGACTGGTCCTGTCCCCAGGCTAGGCGAGGAGCACCTCGCCCAGCCCAGGTGTGATTCCTCAGAGTAGATGCCACAGGCGCACACGGGCGTTCACACACACACCGCCCCATCGGAGGGTCTGCGGTCCACACGCTGCCCTCCCCGCTCGCCCGGGAGGCCGGAAGCCGCAGGCTTCAGCCGCTGTGGGTGCACGACGGGCCAAGGCGCTCCGCCACCCCAGTGCCAGTAGCCAGTCCCCAGGAGGGTGCCACGGTTTTGCTCGCTGCCGAGTTCAAATCCCAATAGTGGGCTTCTGCTACTTAGAGCTCAACTCCTAGCGCCTGTGTCTTACTCTGTTTCCTTGGGCAAGTCCTTGCCCCTTCTCCGCGCCTTAGCGGAAGGACAGAATTGGGGTCTCCACCCGAGGGTGTGTACCAGAGAGCTGCTGTGCTGGGAGTTGGGTACTCAATATGTGCCTTGCCCTCACCAGCCTAGTGGGCTCTGGGACATTGCTCTCTTGGCCCCTCAGGGCAGCATGGGTGTTGCACCTCCCCAGAGACCTCCGGCTCTCTGGCCCTGAGTCAGCCTTCTTCCCTAGGTCCTTCCCCTTTCCTTTGCCACCTAGGCTAGATGGTGCACCAGGGCAGTGCTGCCTCTGCTGGAAACAAAGGTCAAGTCCCTGTGGGTTTCGCCACCCTGCACCTGTCCCTTCACGGGAGTCTGGGTCCATGCAGACAAGCTCTCCACTGCTCGGGTGGCAGGGAGTTCCTCTAGGGGTCACACCTCCGGATGTCGTTGCTGCCCCTCCCCCCTTCTCTTTTCTTGCCTGGCATCCGGCCAGCCATCTTCTTCTGCGATTTGCTTTTCCTACTCAAGGTTTACTGGTCAAGACTTCTCCGAGTGTCCAGCTCCTGGTTGAATCGCAGCCCTGGTTTATTTGTGCATGACCCCAAGGATGGGCATTCAGGCTGTTCCTGGTCTTTGGCTGTTACAGACACTGCTGCCATCAGCACCCTGCACATGCCTGTCTGAGCCGCTGTCAGCTCAGAAGTGGTTTTGCTGGGACTTGGGCTGTGCCCATGACCGGGTGTTGCTAATCCGTTACCTCCCATGAGCGGCTGAACCCATGTTCACTCCTACCAGCAGCGTGGGAGCGGTCCTGTGGACCCCACAGCCTGAGCAGCCTTGGGTCTTGTCCAGCCTTGACCATTTGCCCACCGCACAAGGAAAAGCAGTGCCTCATTACTGTACACCTTGCCTTTCCCCGGTTGGCGGTGAGAGCGGGTATCTTCTCAGAAGTTTGCCAGCCGTGCCCGGGTGCTCTTCTGTGAATCGCCTTTGCTCATTTCCTCCCCACCACGGAGAAGCGTTGTTGGCCTGTTTCTGGGAGAAAGTTCCTGGCATCAAGGTTGAAGGCACTCTCATTTGTTTTATACTCACCCATCACCCAGAAGCAGGCCACATTGGAGTTGGCCTTATAGCTGGACCTTGGCTTGCCCACGTGGCCTTACTCTCCCAGCTTTCCTATCTCGCAGGTGGTAAGTGCTGGGTAAATGAAGAAACACGGGTGTTCTCTCAGAAACCATCTTTCCCAGTTGGCCTCATGGGTGCGTGCACTCCCCGCCCTCCCACTGCTGAGGGCCGAGACTGTCTGCTCTTAACACTTGCCGTGAGAATTTCTGTCTAGGGAACCTCGGCCCCAGTCCTGTCACAGATTCCACCCCACAGTGTCCTCCTCCTTGGTTTCTGCCATGATTTGTCTGGGGTCCTTCCTCAGAGAAGGTGCTCCCGTGGGAGCAGATGCGGGACCCTTGCTGCCAACTGGCCAGCTGGCCTGCAAGCAGACTGTTGACTCATTTCCCCTCTTTTCAGCCTCCTCCCTTCCTATTCTCCCTCCTTCTATACGTACTGACTCCAGTTCCAGGACTCTCCTCCAGCTCTGCCTCCGGACACCAGCTCCGCGCTCTGCCGGGGGCTGGGCTGCGATGCCTTGACTGTCTTCACTTTACCACCTCTCAGCCTTCCTTTGACTCCACCTCCTAACACAGCCGACCATCCTACCTTCTCAAAACACTTTCCTTTGTCTCTTGGCTTCTGTCAGCCCCGCCCCCCACCTTCAGGCTGACCGCATCAGTCTCTGCCTTCCTGTTCTCCTTGCAACTCCCTCCTCCTCCTCCTTTGCTTGGAGCTCAGTGTGGTGGAGGTGGGCTCCCAGCCTCAGCTCCGGGCCCCTTGGCACCTCTGACACCACTCTCACCGGAAGGATCTGCCTGCCGATGGCTCCAAACGTTCTGTCTCTGGGCAGGAACTCTTCCCTGAGCTCTGCGTGTGTTCATCAAACTAACTGCCCACTTGGATGCCCAAGGGGAACTTCAGAATGAAGATGTCCAGACTGGAGCACTCTATGCCCCTCAACACGCTTGCTTCTTCCCCAGGCTTCCCCAAGGGCTCTGCCTTCTACCCGGTTGCTCAAGCAGAGGTGCCAGAATTCTTCCTCCCCTCTCCTGGGCTCCTCCTCCCCCATCTAACCCATCATCAGATTTTAGTGACTCTAGTCGGCGACTGCTGCCCCCGTCCACCTCTCCACGGCCCCTGGCCCTGTCTACTGCTCTCCCTTCTCCCACTCTGGCCCCTGTCTCTACTTCACTCCCACTCGCATGGCAGCTGGGGCAAACTCTGCAACGCCACCAGACCCCACTCCTCCCCGGTGATGTGTCCTCCCTGTGGCTCCCCATCTCCTTAGAGTAAACTCCAAAGTCCTCTCCCTGGCCAGCAGCTCCCCCACCCGCGCCGGGGGCTGGCCTCCTCTTAGGCTCTCCTTCCCATGCCACCCATCTGCAGCCCCCTCACCAGACTCCTGCTGTGATGGACTTCTCGGCCGGCCCCAGAGCACACCGAGCTCATTCCCATCTGTGGCCTTTGCCTTGCTTCCTCCTCTGTGTGGGACAAGCTGCCCCCCAAAATTCCCATGGTGGCCCCCTCCTCCGCATTCAAGTCTCAGTGGAACCCCCCTCCCACCCCCTGGCCTTGGAGGCCTCCCCGATTGGCCACCCACATCAAACATGGACCCTGGAGTACCCTCCGCTCATATTCACATTAGCAGCATTGCCTTATGTGTCATCATGTAATAGATGCTGGTTGGGGTCTTTGCTATGGGCATCAGGGTGACAGGGGTGGGGATGAGTTCCTGTGGCTATGCTCACATTTAAGAGTCCCCTGTGACGCCCAGGTAGATACACATTTTACCCCCTTCCGTCCTCCTCCTCCCTTCACCACCACCCCCCAACTTGGGGCTCCGAGGGCAGACCGCTGGGCTCCCAGATGCAGGTAAAGGACTTGTCATTATGCCACTGGCTTGGTTCAGCCTCCGGGGTCTTCTGTCTTTGGGCTTGTTCCCCCTGATTGCCAGCAGCGGGCCCTGCACAGAGCCAGTGCCCAGCAGATGTTGGCCAAGGGAGGAATAGACTCAGATTCACACAGGCTCCGGGCCACTAGGTGACAGGGTGCTCCCATAACTTACCCCCTCCACCACACACCTTACTGTTGGGAATGAAGTCCAGGGGACGGCCAGTGTGGCAGCAGAGAGGGTCTCAGGGTTTCTTTCCATTTGGCCGCCTCCCAGCTGGGTGACCTGGGAGATGTCCCTCAGCCTCTGAGGGTTGAGTGGGAGAACCGTCGGCTCACAGCCCGGGAGGGGCTTCTGTGCCCCACAATTGCCGAGGGCCCAAGCTCTGCGCAGCTCGACGCGCCCCTCTTGTCTCCTCTAGGGAGAACCTGGAGCTCTCCCCTACCTTCTCACCAGGCAGTGTCCACCCACACTTCCTAAATTTTGGCCTCAGACCAGCTCCCCACCAGCTGCAGCCTGCTCTGACTGCTCAGTGGTCCTCTTCCTCCGCCCCCACCTCTGGGGGCTCCCAGCCCTGCCCCAAACCCTCCACAGGCTCTCGGGCAGCCAAGCAGGCCCCCTTCTCCCCTTTGTGAACCTGCCATTCCCTCACTGGCCACTCCTACCTGGGGGACAGCTTCTTCCTGGCTGCCA